TTACCGAGGCCGGCAGATCCCTCATATACGGACACACACACTCGTTTAGATAGCCAAGCACTCATTCTACCATCTACGGTGTCTATAGATATCATTGTCACCCTCCGTATAATCTAAGTTTCTTCTTCATATATAGCCTCGTGCAGTCCGGATAATCGACTCCCCGACTTCCCCGACTCGGAGTTAACCGCCTTATTGGTTTATCCGTTTCATGATGCCTGGGCATTTGGGTGTTTATTAAGGGTCGATGAAGTATGCTCCCGGAAGCATTATTGCATTATAAACATTTACCAAACTTTTAATTCCTGTGCCTGCTCTTCCTTCAGACAATTTATAGTACAATCACAACCCAAGCATACTGGCTATTTGCCTGGCCTTTCCTCAATGCTAATATATTAGCTAAAACATTATTCTCGATTTTCTTCACAAGAGACTAGTGTTTGTGGTGTTTAGAATTACGAAAGGAAGGCCCTTCACTCAAGTCTTCCCACCATCGTCACCTACATAGCTCACAATGTTCGAACCTGAGTCCCTTGTGTAAAGTGGTAACTGGGATTCATGTCCCTGGCCTTCAGTAAATGTGCGGGATACATCAAAGTGCGGTTTCTTGGTCAAACTTTCCAACATTGCAATTGTCGTCAAGAATACAGAAAGCATTCTCGACAAGTAATCTTCGTTGCACTAGCTTGGTAGACGCCAGAACGATCTGATTTGGTCGAAAAACAATTGGAAATTGTCAAATGCCTTGTGTATGGCATACTACATTCTATCGTAGATCGATATTGGGTCTAACTAACGAAGAAATAGGCCTGGAATTGATATAATGACATGGACAACTTCGACTGCTCCGAGCTCAGGGCCCATGATCTCTTGGCCTCTTTCGTCTCTTTCTTGTTTTATGATGCCTTGGCAGGAGACTTTGCTGTCGGGTATGCAGCAGAAAATGTACTACAGAAAAATAGCTTTGACACGATTCATTTTGTTCTCCCACTCGCATTTTCAGCAAGTGTTATCTCACGCTTATTCCCCTCAAGATGCACAAGCCAGAACCCACAACTACTAATGAGCAAGCGCCATTTTGCCTCTTCCAATGCCCGAATGAAATCATTAAGGTTACCAGCTACCTAAAGCTGAGCCATTTAAATGCATTCTTCCAAGTTTCACACTCTTTACACACAGTTCTTCGCAATACATTCTACAATCGCGTATGTACTACTTTGATAAGTTACGGTTTTCCTTTTGCCAGTGTTCTGGAATGGGCTGCGAGAAAAGATACCGCATTTTACTATGCAACACGCTTGGTTATGGGAGCACCATAAAGTATTTCAAGCAGGAGGCACAGGACTAGTGTTTAACACGCCATCTAAGATTAGTTATGATAATCTTATATTATATTTAATTTGATAATAAACTGCCTGGAATGAACTTACTATTATTTAACAATCATACTTCACCGTTATATTCAAATGAGCACCAAAATGCGCCATCCCCCAGTGCCCAATCGAGACATATCTACAGCATTCGTTGACCCGGCACTATGTTGAACTGGGCCTCAGCGGAATGCTATATTTCTGTGATTGAGGAATTCCGAATTCGAGAACGAGATCAGACTCATCTCAGGCAGAAACTAGTGCCCGGACTATGCTGCGCCGCACGTCAAGGTCACCTGCACTGCGTTGAGCCGCCCCGATTGCTATGGGGGCAGATGTGTCACCTCCATTGTCTAAAACCAACCGTTTCACATCACTGCAGTGGGCGGCGAGAAGGGGCCACTTAGCTATCGCCCAGCTTCTTGTCAAGCAAGATGCGCGTGCTGGATTGACAACCCCTTCATTATTTATCTGACTAAGGCAGCAAGCACAGATCTTCTAGTTTCGGCTCCGCTGCTTCTTGAAAAGGAAATTGATCAGGTCCTAAAGATTTGGAATCTAATGCTCTTGTTGAATATATGCTCGGAGAGAATTATATGCGATCCTACCAAGCCCTCTGTGATCATGGCGTGGGTTCGAGTGCTAAAGCCAAGATACTAATTCATATTGCAATAAAAACGAACACGAGACTGCCTTTCAGTTATCCATGAAGTTACACCAACGGACCAGGCTCTACAAGGACCTGGAGACAGACGGAGTCATGAGACCCACTACTGCAGAAGAATATCCACAAGGACGACTTTTAGGAAAGCCCAGAGCCACCAAGGCGCTGCTACAATTCCTAGCCAGCACCAGCATAGCTCTACCCCGAGCACACCTACAGCGAATGGCGGAGAGGGCCCGAAGAGATGACGAATGGGGAATGGAAGCATTAGAGGCAATTAGAACAGGAGAAGGGTAGAAGGGAGGGTAGCCTAAGCTGAGTGTCAGCCTAGGCCACACCCATCCTGCTTCAAAACACGAGGGGAGCACTGTGCTCAAAAGCCCTGCGCATACAGGCGGCTGGGGCGAGGACAAGGATCAGAGAAATTATAGAAGGGGGCGAGCGCCTCAGGAACTAATAGGGACAAGAGACTGTAGTATAGCAGCTAGCCTCGGGTCCATGAATTATGGTCTGTCATAGCTCTAGGGCTCAGTATAGACAATAAACTTGATTTAATAATAATAATATCCCTGAAGCTCGGGGCTGATCCTTCACCCGCTATATTTGCTTGACGTATTGCATATCACGAGACATTCAGATACCACCAACTCCCTATACTGAAACTATTGCTGAAATCCCGTGTTGACTGTTTCAAGATATCTGATCAAAACACTGCATTACACTTCGCAGCATGTACTGCCGATGAAGAACTTGTATTGGCACTTTTAGAGAAAGGAGCGAGCGTTTCCACGTCAGACCATAAATGTCGCAAGCCTCTGCATTACACTATATTAAGTAGCCTATCTCGCTACTTCAATCGAGGCAGCCTTGATACCTTTATAGCCGCCTGAAAGCCATCGAATCCTTCCTAGAGAGGAGCTCGTTTCTTGGATACTGATGATTGTGGCTCCACTGCATTGAATTATGCAAGGCGCTTGGGTTGTGACAAAATAATACAGCGTCAGAAGAAGAACATGAATGAAGCTTGAGATTTCGCAAGATATTATTAGTCTTACTACTAGATTACTCTTGAACCATCCAAGTATTTCGAGGAGTAACTCTCCGATCAGCTCAATCGTTGATATCTATCAGTCTCAACTAATGCCGTTTATACCTAAGGTGTCTCATTAATTGTCAGTATTCTCGCTCTCATTAGATTATGTCGGAAACTGCGCTACGCGCCAGACTATTGCTTTAACTGGTAGATATCTTGCGACAGCATATGTACAGAGAAGCCGGCGCTTTTGAAGTGGGCTGGATTAATCCGATTGTACTCTCCTGACCAGGTATGCACCTTTCTGATTCATCCTTCATGTATGGCGATTTCACTCTTTATCATTCAAAACCAGCAAACGCCAAACAGAGTAGTGTGCAGTCTTGTGGAAGTAGGAAAAGAAGTTGCTCATGCGACAAAGGAACTAACTACATGATGTGACAATCAAAGCAAACAAAGGCTTCTTCCACTTCACTGTCATGTCTTTGAGCTAAATTAGCTATAAGCTGATGTCTCTTCTCAGTCCCTTCTTTTTTTTTCTTCTTCCTCTTCTTCATTTCTTCTTTTATACTGCGGGTCGCTCTATAGATGGTCTTGTTTAGTGCCCCAATTCTACCGAGATATCTGTTCTCTATACATTCTATATATCTCAGTCCTTCTGTTATAAATAATTGTCTGAAACAGGAATCAGACCGGCTGGTCCCGTCAGATTCAGAAATGGCGCAGCAAATTCGATGCGGCAATACAGTGTAGACTGCCATCGCATCACCACGTTTTTCGTCGACCTATCTAGTCCAAGTTTCGCGAGCTAATATACATCAATCTGAATACGCCAATACCTGTACTATATAAACGGTAGACTTGTCACAAAACGGAGACCCGTTAAGTCCCCTGGAGCAGCTCGCTGAGCACATGCTCCATTATTGCAATTGTGAATTTACTTGCATAGTATAATCAGCATGCTTGTCTTGTAAGTGCTTGGAATATAGTTAATTATAGACTTATTAATCGCTAACACAAAAAATCAGGTCAAAGTCTGTGCTGGACACCTCTGAGCATCATAAGTCAGGCCCCATGTATTCCAGGCCACGGTGCTTAAGATACCAAAGCCTGATACAGTCACTTAACCCAGACCTTGACTAGCTAAAAGCCTCTTGGAGCATACAGAGAAGGTAAACGAAATGGTTTGTTAGAAGGCTGGAGCTCACGATGACATTGGACGTTCAAGTGAGACACATGAACGCATCCTAGGTATTCCGACACAAACCACGCAGTCCTTCAAATTGGCAGCTAACTTGAAGCACAGGTCAAAGTGTCAAACGTGGCTTTCTATGAAGTATCCTCGACATGACTATCCCTCTTGTCCTATTCCTCTGGATACTTATCATACGATAAGCAACATCCTTTTTCTGTCCTAGGCTAGTTCATCACAAAAGCGATGCGAAAATGGATGACATGTGTATATGCGGACGGCTCAACAGAGCCCCCGATATCGTTTTAGTCTGAGACTCTGGGGGTCTCATTGAGAAGAGGATAATTGAATTAGCTACGGCATTGAATTTGAAGCCGTTGGCAACAGGTTCCAGCCAGAATGTTGGTCAAAGATTAACAGGGGATTGTCTCTTCGCCACAGCCAAGTACATGCAGTACAGCAAGGCAAATACTGCATGTAGCTGTATGTAAGTCTTTGCTCTTCTGTGATTGAAACTCGCATTTCGTATACTTAACATGTGCTAATGTGCAAGCCCCTCCTTCAGCAGTTTTTATTGAATCCTTGCATTTTATGTCTATATACTTTCTCACGAATGCAGACAACATTGTGGGAGGTCTGCATACATTGGGATTGCAGTGACAAGACGAACGCCTCCAGTTCTTGGAAGCTTTGCACCTATACTACCGAGCGTCAAATTGCCATTTTAACAACGGAAATGTTTTCAAAAAGACAGCTTCAAGCAATAACATCAAAGAATCTGAGGCGCACAGCAACCTGTTTAGCAATCGATGAAAGATGTTTTGAGCCTACATATTCACCCGAGTTGCATGTGCATAGCCGGGCTGACTCGCTTACCCACTGCGATGGTGAATACTCATATATATCTCCCAGTGACCAAAACTCAACTGGATCAGCCCATGCGTGACATAGAGGAGCCCTGCATACGCTCCAAGGGTTCATAAGAACCTTGGTGCAGCTTTCTGTTGACTTGAATGTCGACAAGAAGCCCAAAGCGCAAAGAGCGCGAGTTAATAGTTTGCGTCCTTACAGGTTTAAGCCAACATTTCACTGGGGAAACAGAGAGGCCAGGAGAACTAGTTTCTACTAAAGGAGCACATAGCCATGGCTAAAGTAGTGGTATGGCCACCCATTAGCATTTATCAGGCGGTATTTCTTACTTTTAGTTAACGGAAGAAACAACCTCGTGGGCAGACTGAATATAGAGCAGTTTACAATTGGGCTGGGACTTGGCTCTCACATAGACCAGTTTGGCAAGCCAAAGGGAAGTCAGCGAGCAAGTCCGGTTACAACAATAAAAAATGGTGCAGCAAGCCTCCATATGGCTAATTCTGGACTATTTACTCTAGTTCGTGGCAGATTCTCTGTTATTTCTACAACTCGCAAACTCGGTCTAGGGACGTTGGTTGTGACGGTGTTGCTCCTTGCCAATTAGGCATCGCATTCTCTTCCTCCAGTATCACATCGTGATAAGACTGGCACAAGGGAGTGGCAGAGTTGAGCGTTGTTGGAGGGAAGTGCAATGGTCATGTCGAGCATATGGGTGATACCAATGACTAGAACAACCTGATGCTTCCCACATATTGCTGTCCTCCGCACCTCTGTCTCTGATTTGAGTCGATATATGTACATACAAAAAGAATGTTTCGTCACAACCAGATACCATATAGACAACCTGACTGGTATGAGTGTCGTGAGTACATTCATATGATTATCATGGCATCGTCGCATTGAATTTAGTTCAAAATGAACCTGGAATATCACCGCGCCACTGACAAGCACCTTCTTGGGTATGTATCATAATCGCACTCTACCAATGCATGTACCAACTTACATTTGATGGTCTCATGGTAACTCCAATAACAGTCACTGTCGGCGACAGGAGCTCCTCTACCTTCTTCGTCCACGAATTTACCATATAGCCTACGTGCGTGTTCCTCGGATCAATTCTGGATGATGTACCGATGGCAGAATTCATCTTGATCACTGCGAACCGGCCATCTTCAATGTATACGTACAGTGGCTATACACTAGCACGAACCCAATCAGCACTATTCCCAGCAAGTCCCCGGATGCTTGCAAATGGCGGTCCTGGGGAAAGCATACCTCTTGCACAATTATCTTATGGACAGAACCTTCAGGGATATAATTGTAAATGCTACCCTAATGCAAGCTACGGAATCCCATTGCCTCTTACCCACGTGCTCCGGCTGCTTCAACATGGTCCTTCACATGTACAAGAATACGCTACTCAGATTTGATCCGGACCTTGCTTGCTGATGCGTACGCCTGGCAAGCTTAGGAGCTACGTCTCGACTGGGTTTTCTCGGACATGGTGAAGGAACTTCCGAAAGAATTTCGTTAGGGGTCTTCAGAAAAGCGGTTTAATATGCCCTCTGAGCCGCCGTCGTGCTTGGCTGGGTGCTTGTGCCATGGATGCGGGAAGGGCCATTGTCATCATGAGAATTATTCCCCAGTGGTTAAAGCATGGCTGGGGGATAAGCAGGAGACTTACTAAGTATCTAGTTGTACGTGTTCATCATACCATGTCCGTTCTCGGCCGTTGTATTTTGCATCGCATAGACCTGGTTTGTCTATTAACTTCTAACAGATCGGCTGTTGATCTATGCGCCATCGAAAAGCCAACCCGAAACAGTCCCAATATGCGAGGCTGTTTGCGGGTGCGGAATTTGAAGCTTTTGGGCGTTAATCTATCGGTGAACTGTGGATCGGGCTATGGCCAAAAGGAGCATGCTAACGAGTCCAGAGCGGACCCAGTGGGTCAAAGCTTCTGTGCCGTCCGCGTGGCTTTCTGTATGGAGTTGGCATATCAAGATCAAACGGATCGGCCGATACGGCGTTTCAACCCTTAATTTATTTCGTGACGGTTGCTAGCGGAACTTGTGGGATACATTCGGATACTCCTATATCTATGCCTACGCCTCCTATTATGTGTCTGATTTCCATTCATCCATGTATATTCTTTGCGGTATTGATGCCAATTGATATTCCTTAATTCCGTTCTTTGTTGTTGTTAATATTCATTACTTTCTTTCTTGATCCTCTGGCAGGATTCACCATGTACTTTAATCCTCTTATCCTCGCGGCCCTTGTGCCTCTAGCAACCGCCCAACTCTCCGGCAGCGTCGGACCCTCGTCATCAGCAAGCACCAAAGCCAGCACTAAAACTTGCAACGTCCTAGACTACGGCGCCAAAGCAGACAAATCCACCGATATAGGCTCCGCCATCGACTCTGCCTTCAAAGAATGCTCCAACGGCGGTGTTGTCTACATCCCTCCCGGCGACTACGCCATGGAGAGCTGGGTGACCCTCAGCGGCGGTAAAGGCTGGGCGTTGCAGCTGGACGGAGTCATCTACCGGACTGGTTCTGATGGTGGCAACATGTTTATAATCGAGCACTCTTCGGATTTTGAGTTTTTTAGTAGTACCTCCAAGGGTGCGGTGCAGGGATCTGGGTATGAGTTCCATAAGGAGGGCTCGTTGAGTGGGCCTCGGATTCTGCGATTGTATGAAGTGACGGATTTCTCGGTGCATGATGTTGCGTTGGTCGATGCGCCGGCGTTTCACTTCTCTTTGGATACGTGTGAGAATGGAGAGGTGTATAATATGGCTATTCGGGGTGGTGATTCGGGTGGATTGGATGGTATTGATGTTTGGAGCACCAATATTTGGATTCACGATGTATGTGCCTCCTGGCTGTGGTCTCCAGATGATGCTGATTGTGCTGCAATAACAGGTCGAGGTTACCAACAAGGACGAATGCGTGACGGTCAAGGTATGTTCCCAAAATAGCAAAGTAGCTTGGAGATATCTAACGCGACGCAGAGCCCTGCCAAGAACATCCTCGTTGAGAACGTCTACTGCAACTGGAGCGGTGGATGCGGTATGGGTTCGCTGGGAACCGACACCGACATCAGCAACATCATGTACCGCAACATCTACACCTGGAAGTCCAACCAGATGTACATGATCAAGAGCAACGGCGGCAGCGGTACCGTCTCAAACGCGGCCTTTGAGAACTTTATCGGTAAGTCATAGCTGACCTGGATACGTGAACTCAAGCTAACCATCTAGGCCACGGCAACGCCTACTCCCTCGATATCGACAGCTACTGGAGCAGTATGGACGAAGGGAGCGGTGACGGTGTCCAACTCAGCAACCTCACTTTCAAGAACTGGAAGGGCACCGAAGAAGACGGCGCCCAGCGTGGTCCCATCAAGATTGAGTGTCCTGACGCGGCTCCTTGCACGGACATCACCATCCAGGACTTTAACATGTGGACCGAATCCGGCGACGAACAGAGCTACACCTGCCGTAGCGCTTACGGGTCTGGTTTCTGCTTGGAGAACTCGGACGATGAGTCTTCGTACAGCACCGCGTTGACCGCGACTGCAACCCCTTCGGCCTTTGCGGCACCCCGCATGCCCAATGACTTGTCCACTGCGTTTGGTACCGACTCTGCCATTCCAATCCCGACTATCCCGACCTCGTTTTTCCCCGGGGCGACACCATACAGTGCGCTTGCTGGTGCAGCTAGCGGCAGTGCCACGCCGTCTAGTTCTATGGTTGCGAGACGGTTCATGCCCAAGGAGACTGGTGCTTATCCGGATTTCCACGGCAAGAACCGTCGGATGGTGAAACGAGCTACGAGGGTATTTTCGTAGGGGTCTTTGACTGAACTTGTCTTAATGGCCATGTTCCCAATGTCTGTCGATATCATAAAGTAGTGTTATACAGCCAAATGACACGGTTAATCGTCGTACACTTACACGGTTTGTGATACTTATGCAATGGCCGTGCTCGAATATAAAACCAGCAACTTCTGGTTTCAATTGAGCGTTCAACAAGAACCTTGTCTCCTATCTCAGCTTCTTAGAACAACAGCTTCATTCTATGATTATGCATGCCTCTAGTATCCTTCCTCTCCTCCTTTGCGCAGTTTCTGCCGCTGCTGCCCCAGCCCCCAATCAATGGTTCGCCGGTTTCTACGCCGGGCACCAGTGCGGCAGGGACATGGTATTCAGTCAGGCTAATACCAAGAAAACCGGTTGCCAAAATATTCCTACTCGTGTCAATGTCCACGCTGCTCAGGGCAAATCGGGCCCCTTCACCATGACGTTTTACTCGCAGGGGAATTGTATAGAGGGTCACAGGATATATCAAATCAGCCATGGGGATGCATGTCTTAGTACTCAACTAAACTTTCCTGGATTCAAATCTTTAGGGTTAGTCGTTTATCGTAATGTAGGCGGGTGGGATTGAGAGACTTTAGCTGATAAAGCTTTGGTATATAGGTTAAATAAGCGGGATTGTGCCTTCGTATTGATTCAAGCAATCGCCCCATTGGTTTCTCGAGGCTTTTTCTGTTTTAGGACTCGACGGCTATATAACGTTGATTCTGTGGATAATACGGATACTTCCGAAGCTATTTTGGGAAGCATCAGGTGACATCACCGCCAACCGACTTGTTATATACCCCTGTGCAGTGCAACTACAGGGGAGGTATTTCTGTATATTCTAATATCATCGTCTATCTATTCCATGTGCTTCTTGACGGTATTGCTTTCAAACCGAACTAACCCCGCAATGGGCTAAAACCTAGTACACCATCAACCCCTCAGCCAGCCACTGAAATGCATTCCCTACTCACCTCTCGTCCTCAGACGTCGGAATACATCCCTCTTTCTCAATGGAAAAATAACAAAGCCATGTCCCCTCCCCCCAAGCAGATCGAAGAATCGCCATCTTCTGTCGTCGAACAGCTAGATCCGGAATCCACCACCTCCCCGTCGCTTCCCCGTGAGAACAATGGCCGCAACGCCGCCTACACGGCCAAAGCCACCGCGCTCAACCGAGCCATCCAGGATATTGGCATGGGCCGGTACCAATGGCAGCTCTTTTTCGTGATCGGATTCGGTTGGGCGAGCGATAATCTCTGGCCGATCGTGGTGTCCTTGATCCTGCCGCCGGTTTCGTACGAGTTCAACGCAAGCAAACCGCCCATTTTGACGCTAGCGCAGAATGTTGGGTTGCTGGTCGGGGCGATTTTTTGGGGCTTTGGATGTGATATTTTTGGACGGAAGTGGGCGTTTAATCTCACGCTTGGGATTACGGGGGTGTTTGGGTTGGTTGCTGCTGCGTCGCCGAGTTTCGCGACGGTATGTCTCTTTGCGGCGTTGTGGTCGATCGGCGTTGGAGGGAATTTGCCTGTGGATTCGGCGATTTTTCTTGAATTTCTGCCTGGGTCGCATCAGTATCTGCTCACGGTTTTGTCGGTTTCATGGGCGTTTGCGCAGTTGCTGGCGACGTTGGTGGCATGGCCGTTGTTGGGGAATATGACCTGCGACGAGGATAATGGGGAACCATGCTCGAAATCTAGTAACATGGGATGGAGATACTTTCTTTTCGTGATGGGTGGATTGGCCATGGTTATGTTTATCGGGAGATTTGTCTTTTTCACGCTTTTTGAGTCGCCCAAGTACCTCATGGGTAAGGGACGCAATGACGAAGCCGTGGATGTGGTTCGCGAGATAGCCAAGAGGAATGGACGCCGGACGTCTTTCTCTTTGAGCGATCTGCAAGATCACGATGGTCCAGTGAACGAAGAGGATCTCGGACTGAATACACCGGCGGCTCTAGGGACGCGAGATCTAATCCGCATACGATTGGAAAAGGTCAGTCTGGAACATGTCCGGGCTCTCTTCGATACACCCCGTCGCGCCTGGTCGACCTCTATGATCATGCTGGTATGGGCATTCATTGGCCTGGGCTTCCCTCTCTACAACGCCTTTCTACCCTACATCCAACAATCCCGAGGCGCCGAATTTGGCGATGGCTCAACGTACATCACCTACCGCAACTCACTCATCATCGCCGTCCTAGGGATCCCGGGGTGTCTGCTAGGTGGTGCACTTGTCGAAATGCCCCGGTTCGGCCGCAAGGGCACCTTCATGCTTTCTGCCGTTCTTACTGGCGTATTTCTGTTGGCTTCCACGACAGCAACATCATCAAACGCACTACTAGGCTGGAACTGCGCATACAATTTCATGAGCAACATCCAGTCCGCCGTGTTGTATGCATATACGCCTGAACTCTTCCTCACGAAAGACCGCGGGACGGGAAATGCGTTGACGGCTTCTTCGAGCCGGGTGTTTGGGATTATGGCGCCGATTATTGCCATGTTTGCGGATCTCAACACTTTTGTGCCGGTATATCTTAGTGGTGTGTTGTTCATTGCAGCGGGTGCGGTGGTGATGTTGATTCCGTATGAGTCTAGGGGGAGGGCGAGTTTATAGTGCTTGCATTTTGTTTGTATAAGGCATTTTCATCGTTGCATGATATATTTTGGATTTTGAAGACCAATATCTTTTTTAAAGAAATCTTACATATAGAGCCAGCAATGAATGCTGCTGCAAGCTAGAGCTAAGGTTCCCATAGCTACCTACATCTACCAAATTGTCCCATACATAGTAAAGGGGTGCAATACGGTTGAAAAAATTTTTGATGCATATTTTTTGTTCTACAGTTTATTTGTCTATATTATTATCTATGTTCCCTTTTCGTGCAAAGAAAGTATGCAAATCTATTTACATGACAACGGAAGACAAAGCCTCATTCCACCCCCGCAACACAGGCGGCGCATAAATATCCCCCGTAGCGTCCTGCGCCTTCACAGCCAGATACTCCCCAACAGCCTCGTAAAACTTAGGCGTGTTCTCAGCCAGCCCCAAGTTTAGCGGCTGCTGATGGTTCCCGATCTGCCTGATATGCAGCAATGCTGCCGTTGCCGTGGACATAAAGTCGTACTGGCTCAGATGCAGCGAAATCGCGGAGGGAACCTTTCCAGCCAGGATGTGCGAGCACAGATATGGTTCTTGGCAGAGGGGACGGCCCAGGCCGATGCCGTCGACGACGTTCAGGGCGTCCACCATGCCGGAGACACTGCGGAAGCCGCCGGTGAGGTAGGACTTGGTTTTCTTTAGGGCTGGGACGATGAGTTGGGCGAAGTCGAGGAAGAACTGGGTCGTCAGTGCCATTTCAATGTGGTTGGGAAAAGGAAACGCTTACAGCTTCACGCTTCGAAGTAGTCTCCCGTTTCTCATCCATGGCCCACTTCTCATACGTACCACCTGACAACTCGACAAAGTCAAATGCATTCTCCTCAAGCGTCTCGCACAGCACCCGCGCCTCCTCAGGCTGGAACCCATGCTCCTGGAACTCAACGCTGTTCACCTTAATACCAACAACAAAGTCCTTGCGCACGCGCTGCGCAACCGCCTCCCGGATCTCTAGAATCAACCGCATCCGGTTCTTCAACTCCCCACCATACTCATCTGTCCGCTTATTCGTCGTCGACGACAAAAATTGGCTCAACAAGTACCCATGCGCAGCATGCAATTGGATTCCATCAAACCCAGCCTTATCGAGGTACTCGGCGGCATGTGCGAAACCCTCAACAACATCCGCAATATCCTCCTCCGTCGCAGCGCGCGGCGTAGCAAACTCAATCCCCAACGGCGACTCCACAAGCGGCACCTCACTCGCACTAATAGGGCTCGGCTGCACTGCAGCAGCAGTCTGACGACCCGGATGCGACACCTGCGCAACAATCAAAGACCCATTCGCCTTTGCCTTGCCCGCGAGCTCGGAGAACCGCTCAAACCGAGTTCCTGACAGCGGCGCATCAGACGGGATGATCATGTTACCGGGTGCTTCGAGTTGGTCTAGCGCAATCATCACGTTGCCTGTTAGCGAGAGGCCGATTTCGCCCTCGCCCCAGTGTTGGTACAGGTTAATTAGTTCCGGGGAGGGGATGCCGCGGTTGGGCTTGTCGGCCATGGTGAATGAGGCTAGGCGTTCGCTCATGGCGCCTTTGAGGAAGCGGTTTGGGGCAGTTCGGCCCGAGAAGGCAAAGTTGAGCGGTTGCCCGAGTGCGCTCGGGTCGGCTGGGGACGCATCGTAGCGGGTTGTGGACATGTTGCTGCTTGGGTTTGGTTAAATTTTCTATGTATTTGATCGGGAGAATCTGGGGATTTAAGCTCCCTTTAAACACACATGTTAGCTCTTAGCTTATTTTCCCCTTATTTATAAGCCGTGTTGATTTATAATAGCGTATGGCAAATTCTATTCACATCCACATCCCCGATCTGGCAATATTCCCGTGCCGAGGTCGGGCCGACCTCAACGGTTTTCCTCGGTCAGTCGAAATATGTAGGGCTGCTAGGTATGCGGTGTGCGTTGGCATCGAAGAACAGGAAACGACGGATTAATTGTTAGAAGAGTGGTGAGGACACGGGTGAGGCTTAGAAGCGCAGACTTGGAAACCTTGGCTTGATTATACCGTGGCAAGAATGTTGGAAAAGATTAATAGCAACTGGTGGAAAGGCATCCAGAAAGCTCCCGATTGGAATTTTTATCGTGAAACTTGTGGTAGATATTCGACTAGTCCTTGCAAATGGCTTCACGACAAGGTAGGCTTGTCGGGATGTAAGAAATCATACATGTTCCCATAGAAAAATATTGGTTATACCAGCAATCATCTCTGGAAATGCTGTTGGTTTTCACATCTAGGGCACCCTCGAGCCCAAAATAAGGACACATGTATGACTATTACATGATGCACCTAGTGAGGAACAATCAGCAATAGCGATAGGAGTCACTATTGTACATGCTTCGCCTTTCTATTCGTCAAGATGCCAAATCTCAAGGCGAAAGTTAGTCAAGTACCAGCGCAAGCACAATGATTTCTCCTCCGATGCTTAAATACGGTCATTCTCGAAATCGCCAGCTACCTGGATTTTCAGTGCTTAGATGTATTACTCCAAACATCCCCTGATCTGCAAAATGCTCTTCATATTCCACTTCACGGTCTTGCATTTGGTGTCTGGAGAAATCAGCATAATATTATGGCCAGCTCACTCAACTTATTGGAATGGGCTGCGCTGGAGGGCTATGCAGATGTAATTCAAGGGCTTCAAGCTCTACTAAAGGAACATGGCTTTCCATGTCACGCAAAGAATGGTTCCCTGTGTCTAGACACAGCCAATGGTCACTTGCAGTGCGTTAATCCATTCTGGCGATGGGTGCTGAATTATCGCCTCTTCCTTTAATATTCCCATTTACGCATTCCACGCCACTACAATTGGCAGCGAAAAATGGTCAGCTAGCCATGGTAAAACTCCTTCTCGTGAAAGACGCAGCACTGGGCACCCCGAGTCGCGAATATCTGTCAGCGTTGGAATATACGTTTACTGGCAGCCACAAAGCATATACAAAACTACTTTTTTAAGAAAAGCACATGTGTTAAGTTGGAAACTTGTCTCAGCGAAGCAGTAAATATGAGCTGCCTAGGTACAGTGCATGCACTTCTTGAAAAGGGGGTTGGTAAGAACGGTACCAAGGTTATCGACGATTGAATCCTGCAGCATGCAGTATCAAAGGGTAGTGTGGAATGGAATGAATGCACTTGGGTCCTATATAAGCACAGTGCATGGTTTGAGCCTGAGGCTCTTTTGCAGAGTGCAGTGATCTATGGGCATGCGGCTATGGTGCGGTTTTTACTAGAGCGCGGAGATTCTTGCCCAGGTGTACGTTTGGATCGCAAAAGTATCGTACAGTGTGTGGTGCAGAGGTTGGAGGAGTATGTTGCGATGTACTAGTAGAAGATTTGTTGAGATATTTGCTTGAGTTATTTATGTATACGCTAGTTACTTTTGCATTGCTCGCTCGGTCTTCGTTTGATCGCGGCTGAGTTAATGAGTGGGATTTATTGTGATAGAAGGGAGTCGAGGGTCAAAAAGTGAGAGAGGTTTACTCGCAGCCCCTTATGCTTCTTTAAATAACATTGTAGCAGGTGGCTTTTTCAGTCGTCGCTGTTGTTTCTGGTAAACGTGTTACTTCAATAAACTGTACTTCAAGCAACAGATGCTAAACACTGGCAGATCCCTGTCACAACCTGGCTTCTTTCGTATCGTATCTAGGGTTCTAGTTGGTTGTATTTTGAGACAGGACTTACTTACCTTAAGTGTCTTCCAAGTAATCGTATGCTCAATAACCATCCAGGCTCTCTGTATATCACGTCGAAGGTATGTCGCCCCCTCCAGGCTCCGTAAGATAATCAACAGGTAGAATCGGTAAAGGTAACGAATAGAGAAACAAGGCCAACCGAGCACGTATGCTGGGTTGTTGGTTAAGTGCGGACGAGTCAGAAACTAGAAGGTAACCAATGCTTGATTAACTAGATTGATTGCGAAGAACTAAACTAAGTACATGAATGAGTGTCCTTATATATCCTCCATGCCTCCCTGGTATATTGCTGCCGTATGGTAGATGTATACCAAGATAGTATACATATACCAAATGGTATATATCTATCGTTGCCAAGACATATATCATCACGTGATTTGGGTTGTGGCATATTATCTGATCCCTGGATTGTCCTGCATTTTATCGTCAAATATCATCCAGTGACTCTGCCTTGACTCCCCGGATAATCACGTGAGGTTGATGTGGTTAGGTCTGTAACAATCCCATCCTCTGTCACGGGCTCGGAATAGTAGATAATAACGAACTGAATTCCTATCTAGACTATTGTAGCCATCGACGAGAATATCGAATCTGGAGAAGAAAAGAGAAGAGGAAATCTATCTAGGTAATGAAGGGGTTTTATAGAGGTTGTTGCCGACATGGTTGAGTAGCAGCATTTGCGATGTATCATTCATTGCTGCAGTGTTGAGCCGTCATATATGAGCCGTCATATATGAGTCGTCACATCCTCAACATCCCCTAACCTCCTTCACCCAATAATTGCATGCAACCCCATTAGGTGCCTAAGGCTTGAAGTCGACGCGAGTGCTGTGGGACATGAAGAAGGACAAGGGAGGGCAAAAAAAAATAAAAGGAAAGAAAGTGTCGAGAGAAAAATTGAAATAAATGATTAAATCATAGAAGAAAAAAGAAATGCTCACAGGCGGGATTGAACCACCGACCTCTTGATTAATTTGTAAGTCATTCCCATGTTCGGGTTTCGAACCGAGAACCTTGCTATACAAGTCAAGCGCTCTGCCACTGAGCTATGCGAGCTAACTGGTTGGTATTTCCTTTGGCAGCATAAAATATAAGCAAATTTAGTGATTAATCATACGTTTCAGTAATCGATCTATCCGTTGGTACGTTATGGTAAAGAGAAATAATTTTTCAATTTACCGACCGGAATGATCTCCCGATGAAATCTCAAGGAAATAATTGTGAAGTTGGCCCAACTATATGCTCGCCGACTGCGCATGGCAATCTGTTTGCATACGAAGTACCTTGTATGTGTATGAACAAATGGAACAGTCACAAGACTGAGAGAAGAACAGCAGGACAATGGCTTCGTTCCATGACTTTGGTCATGTTTCGCTTGGATTGATGAATAGCATGGGAGTGAACCAGTAGTGGCTAATGTGTCGCGCACGGCATCGGCATATTCGCTGGAGATATATATACACAGGCACGACAAACTTAGTCGATATTGCCCATCAACACGGTCAGGTCAAGGAATATGATAAACGAGAGTTCTCCAAATCGAACCGCTAACCTAATAATTGGAGTATTAGGCAACCCGATCCAAGTACCAGGGATCTGGACTAATAGCAGACCTAATCTTTAGATTAACTTGTAAATGTATTAACGAAAATCATTTGATAACAATTCCTCGATGGTCTAGTGGTCATGATTTCCGCTTGTCAGCTTTATGACTGCAAGCGCGGGAGACCTGGGTTCGATTCCCAGTCGGGGAGTTTTTTTTTTTTTGTTTTTGTTTTTGTTTTTGTTTTTGGCCCTTATACTTTCAGTTCCTCTATCTTCTTCTACACAAGGCAAAATAAATATATAGTATCCCCTGTATTCAAACTAAAACCGAGTATCTCGGTTCTACATTAGAGGGTAGACAGGGCGTAGTGTTAGGATAAACCCAATATTAACTGACAGCCTTCTTCATTTTAATCACAACACACAGGCGATTTCCATTTTCCTCGACAATAGTCTAACATGGTATCATCAACCGGGGGTGGTTTGGTATGGTTGAGTATTTGAGCTACATTTTGTGGAAGTTATAGTGTGATCAGACCTAACTTCGTTCAAGGTGAATACGTAACAGATAGAATAGAGACGCTCAAGTATAATCAGATCTTCTGAGGTTCCGTCTACAGGAAGTCTATAGGGAAGAGACCTCAGTTCTGTCTCGATAATTGTATATGTTATGTGTAAGGAGGGCGGCGTTTGTGTAGTGAATTCCCGATCGGGAAGGCAGGTCGCAGTCTGCGACTCCCTCTTCTTCCTCCCTCCTCCGACTCTTCTCTTCCTTCCAACTGGTTTATCTCTCTCTCTCTATTTGGATTGCTCCCCTCCATTTTTATACAATATCTTTCTAAATCGAAGTTTCTCCAAGATGAACAATCATTGGCAATATGAATCGTTTAACCCAACCGCCGGTATAGACGATGAACAAGCCTGGCAATGCTCCTCTTACTGGGGCTATCCTATGTGGTCAGCGAATTCTCTCTACGCATCCATTCCTTGGCTTGGGATTGGAGGCATGGCACTCCCAGCACACGCCCCATCCTCATCTTCGTCTTCTACCTTCTACCCTTCCTCTTCGTCCGCTACCCTCTACCCCTCTCCGTCCGCTACCACTGTGTCAGACATACAGCAGCAACTACCAGGCGGAGGATTGTATCCTAGTGTCGTCTTTGAGAATGTGCAGCCTGCAGAGTTGAAGCGTGAGGTGGAAACGGATTATAATAGTCAGTCTTCGATAAGTTCGCAGGTGGATGAGTTGATAAGTGCTTTGATGCCCTTGCCTCAGAATGCTCCGTCTACTGGGGCTCAGGCTGGGACTAATACTGACGTGGATGAGAGCCTTGAGAGAGACGAGGTAGGTTGTCTTTATTTGTTCCAATGCTTGGATGACGACGTTTTCTCTGTTTACTCGCCTGTTTGTCTCCGTCCGGCACCTGTCTGACATGAACGGCTCTTGTATAGGCCATTCCCAAGTCTCCATGCCTTGCCTCGTTGAATCTCAATGAGATTACATGCAGCCAAGCAATCTTCTATTTCGGTGTCCTAGCCGTCCAGTCACTGCTCCTCCCCAGGTTCCAGTACAACAAGGACCATGGTGGTAAGAAATGGGCATGCACTTTGACGATGTACGGACGTACGATTGTACGATCCTTCCTTTTCGAAACCCAAATGGAGGCTAGGACAGAGGTATGTTGGGAAGCTCTGAAAGGACTGCAACCTCAGTTTCCAGGTTGGCTTGTCCCGAGTGAGCCTGAAGGGGTTTTCAACAGCCCTGGCTGGAACTGGGTTGATCTTTTGCAGGGTAAATCTTCTTCCTAGTATCGCCATTAGCTATTGACTGACATTTGTCGATGCGCATCATGACAGACTACTGCGTCCAGAACAGTCTGCGCAAGCCGCAGTACACACAGTATGTCCACGAGGGCAACTATCGCCACGAGGTTGAGGTTGAGGGTGGTTCGTTTTTCGGGTTGCAGAAACATTATTCTGATGCTTTGAGTTCGAAAAATGCTGCAGCGCATATGGGTTTGCATGCATTGCTCGTATACGGGAACAGCGTCCTATACAACTTTCCCGGGCCGTTCACTATGAAAATGTCTAGAGAAAGTCTGTTTGCACACGTCCCAAAGTTTCCATCCAGGGCACGCGGCGCCAGTTCTAGTCCCGAGTCTCCAAACCGGCGCGTCAAAAGAGGGGGTATAGACAAGAAGCAAAGGTTCAGGAGCCACCAAAATAAGTTGTCGCCTCGAAAAAACGCAAACTTGCTACCTCTCGCTGAGAGCAAGCTTCCTGATTTTGAGATCCGCCTTGAGGAGGAGAAGCGACGGTGGAATATCACTCCTAGTGAACTTCAGAATCGACTTAAAGACTTGCCCACTCAGGATGCACGACTCAAAAGTAATGCTTCACCCCATTCCTTCCTCCTTTGCTTGTCCTCCATGCTCTATATCGCTAATGTTGCCGTCACCGTATGAGCTTCTAGAAGCCTGCCAACTCTTGTCACTGCGCTCCCCAGAAATCCGCATCACACGTCTTGATGGTAACTTAGTCGAAACCGAAGGTGAATATAGGACATCCGCTCATTTTAAAGGCGACCCCTTCCTCACTCGTGCCGGCGCCATTGGCTCCACTAAGGGTTGGAGAGCGAGCAAAATGGCAGCTAAGGAGCTTTGTGCGGCTGAAGTGGTAAGATACCTGATCAAGATGGTCAACGAGGATACCGAATTGGAAGAAGAGGAAGCTGCAAAACGCGAACAGCCCGAGCACTGGAAGGAGAATACCCTCAGGATGTATGCGAGCCAGGGGTTTGTGGGATGTTGATGAGGATATGTGATGTATGTGTGCGCATACGCATGCAGGTGTTAATATGTTCATATAAGTGTTGGAATGGTTATTATTGGAGCTTTTGGGGCTACAGCGTGCTCTCAGGCAGCTATTGTGAACTGGAGTATGTATCATAGGACATTCACTGCTTTGAGAGGTACTTAGTAGCAACTTCCCACTCCTTTCCATTTTCACTTCATCTTGCTTGCTCTAAACAGCCTATGTTCATAAACAAGGTAACTTAATTTGCTTCACTTGGAAGCCAAACCGACGACAAGCGCGGTATTTATCCACTCAGACTACGCACTAGTACCTAATATATTCATTTCCTGCGCCATTACCAGCAAGAAGAGTGCTTTGTACATCAGCGTTGACCTAAATCCCGCCCTATCGACTCTTCTTTTTCGGACTAGTCAAAAAGGCTGTGCACTCTTCGCGCTCAATCTCGCCATATTGATATGCTCCACTGAGTTAATGCAAAACATACAGGCTCGTTGCCCATAAGCTATCATGGACAATCGATGTGCCGGCCTAAAAGAAGGAAATGCTTTAGGGGCCCAGCATCACCCTCAGGAACTGAACCTATGCGAAGAAGGCTATACGTCAACTTCCATGAATTTAACACTTGATATGATTATGACATAAATGATTACTTCTACCGACTGAACTGGTGCAGTGCTGGGATCCCATCCAAGAGATACTCTCTGAATGGCCGTCATTGGCCAAAGCATGTTAAGTTACGTGAAGCACATTTCTTCTCCTTTGAAAGGTGAATATCTACACCATTATCGTCCACATGAATTTATTCTCCGCGCAGTTCCCACTGCAGAGCACGAGATGATAGAGGTATGGGAGGTGTCTTTGAAATTTTGAAATTTGCCGATTTGGCACTCCACTTTCACTGAGGAAGTAAGTCTTCATATGATACTATACCAAATGGTTTTGCTGATTGTATAAAGTGTAGTGCTTACCAGACAAACAAGTTGAGAAAAGAAGTGTCGCCACATGAGGAGCCGGCGAGTCCAGGGCATCAACAATGGACGATGTTACAAATCACGCCCTCGATGTCGAGAAGATTCATCTCTTCGATAGAACTACCAACCTCCGAAGGCTGGCTTGCTTTGCAGAAAACCCAGCATTGGGTAAAACGCATACCTTCCTTTTCCACGTAACCATAACATCCCACAGGAGGAGAAATTCCTGCCCATTTATCTGACCTCATGTGGAACCGTGTGCTTGTGCTAGTGGGAAAAAAAGGATTTAAGTTGGCTCCCCTTTCACCCAATTCTGCCACTCTCTTAAGGGTATTGATATATAATTGGAGATACGGTTTGTTTCTCGCACTACGAACAGCCAAAGTTGAGTGCAAGACGGTATTCTTTTTTGGTTTTATTGGGACTCTATCCAAAGCCCCAGCTTCGATGGGATTAATAATACCGGGTTTCCAAAAGAGTGTGATGCACCGCACCGATTCCACAAAATTTCATGAGACTGTTGTCATAATCATCCCCCCCCCCCCAGGTGCTACTCTACTATCCGAACTGACTTATATATGGCTTTGACATAATTTTGAGCTTTAGAATACCGGAGATTTTCTACCAGGCCCCCATGGGGCTTCCATGGAATAGCGTTCCGAAGTGGCTTCAAAGACGAGGTGCGTAAGAAGTCGTTGCTTCTTCATCCCCCAGCCATCAAACTCATATCAGCCGTTGGTTATGGCTGCGAGGGATTTCAAACCCCAACAATACCAGAAGGTGCTCTTTTGAGACGCCATACACGGGGTCTATTCAGAACAACTTTTCGATGCTCAATAAACAATAGGCATTATATGCAGACGATGAATCCAACCCATTAGCCCCCTAATCCCAACCTGGGTACCGGCATGGGCATTTGTTCGGTCCCACAAGCCAGGTACTGTATTAAAGTTTTATTAAAGAAGAGTGTTATTATTTGTAAAGACCTGTCGTTTCCTGTAGGTTCAGAAACTGCTGCTGTTTTCCGAATCGCTTGGATATGTGCCTTTCCAGCCATCACAAAACCAGATAAAAGAAACCTGCGTTTCATGATAGTATTGCTGGCACATGAGGAAGCAAAGAAAAGACAAGTACACCTTCATGCCATTATTTCTTCAACATGCACGACACGCGAAGCAAAAAGAGAAATACAAGATATAAAAAGTCCTGGACAACTATCATTGAACCGAAGCTTGTCAACCCGGAGAGTCAGGCTCGTATAGTCCACGTCTAGCTTAAAGTCACATTCGAAGACGGGATATGGTCATCGAGGGAGCCTTGAAGACTTGGGAAGGACTCCACTCATGATAGATTCTCCACATCCCATCATCGATGAGATATTCTGGGACATCGTGACTTAAGTATGCTTACGTCCCAACGATACATGCCGGGTCCGAGAGATGGGCGCCACTAGACCCAGCGAGACAATTGTCGGCATCTGGAAAAGGTTTGTAACCCTCATTCACGACAAGTTATCCGGAAATTTGGGTCAAACAGATATGTACCGCCATGTATTAACTAAATTCCGCAAAGATCCACTACTTCGCTCGTCGCGTGCAACCAGGGAGAAAACTAGACGAACTACAGGTGGTTCTACCTTCTTTCTTTTGCTCTCTTTTGCTCTCTTTTAGGAGGGAATGCCGGGGGTTACCAATGGACGGAGAAAACAAGACAGTTTTCATAGATACAGGATCTTGTTATACCTAGACCTAACCTGTTCGATCGTTGGTTTGATCACTAATAGACTTTGAGCATTCTCCGAATGAGATGCGCAAATGACTGATCGCCCCAAGCATCATTTCGCATCCTCCTTGTTTTTCTTGGTTTCTCGTGCGAAATCGAAGCCGTCAAGGGATCGAGATCAAAAGCACAAACTTATTTGATACTTGCATACTAGTAGAAATAATGACCAAATCTACGGCTTCCGTGGAAAATGAACCATCTGAAGCATCACCAATGTCTTTGCTGTCATTCGTATTGTAACTGTTTTCTGCCATAATATACAGACTACGATCCAGTCGACGGGCTTCCTGGGAATCGCCCTCTATAACGATCAGGATAGACTTGCAAGTATAAATGATATGAGCGGACATCTGGTTGCATGGATTTTCTTCGTTACTGGAGTCCGATCCCCTATTTTAACTACAACCAAATCAAGAATAGAATATCAAAATAATCCATGTATGTATTTTCAAATGAATCATACAGTAAACCAACAATAGCCGAACCTTTTCAGAAACGAAAAGATGAATATGTAAAGCAAATCCCATATTGACTCGCATGATTATATCAAGGTCAGTTCAAGTCACTCACTCATCAAGTTAAACGCCATAAAGGAATGAAATCAAAACTAAATGTTTTCCAA